TGCTTTGGATGAAGCAGGTGAAGATTATACTGTGCAAAAAGAAGGTACCTGACAGTTTTTTAATTAAATTGATAAGCAGATAAGCTACTCAAAAGCACCACTGTGTGTTTGAGCAGGACCAGGAAGTGATACTCTACCGCAGAGAGAGAACGAACACCAAGTGACAGTGCCACCATTGATAAATTGACGTTCATATCAAAAAACAGTTCATTATGTAAAGTTTTTTTAACAATTTGGACCATCACCAACATTTTGTTTAATTTAACTTTCCACAGTTATCTGGACTTGACTGTGAAAAAAGGTTTGTTTTGGCATATTTGAATCAGTTTTAGTGTTATCAGTAGCAGTAAACCTCACCTATAATGATATATTGGCCATTGGGTCTGGCTTTGGGTACCAGCTAGGGATGTCCTTTTTAACCCTTATGTTGCACTCCTGTACCTCTAGACCGGGACATAGCATAAAGTTGGGGCTCATCCAGAATTTGGATCGATATAGCTCAGTGGCTTAATAGGTTCGCTTGTTAAGTGCAAGTGCTAAACAGAATTGGTCCTAGCAAGTTCAAGTTCAAGTTCAAAGTTTATTCGCCACATGCAGGTTGCCCTGCAGTGGAATGAACTCCATAATTAACCTTAGTGTGTGAAGAGGACTCTCCATTTACATCGAGAAACTGGAGTCTATTAGATAGGTATAAGAAGATTTTGTAACCTTCACTAAAGCTGTTTCTGTCCTGTGATGAGCTCTGAAACCTGACTAAAACCCTTCAAATAAGTTATTCCTCGGCAGATGATTTGTTAGCGGTTTGACAACTACACTTTCAAGAATTTTTGATCTGAAAGGAAGGTTGAAGATTGGCCTATAATTAGATAAGACTGCAGGGTCTAGAGATGGCTTTTTAAGTAAAGGTTTATCTACTGCCAGCTTGAAGACCTGTGGTACATAGCCATTACATTGATCTACAATATAGCAGAGTACAATGAGATGATTGGCTAGAAGAACAAAGATGGCGCCGGTGAGGTCGGCTGCCGTCACGACTGCTCCGACCACTTTTTCTTTGTCTTTGTTTTTTAAGTTAGTTTTCAGCGTTTCTAAATCGGCAAAATCA